AGAGTGTTTGCCTGTAAGCAATAGTGATGACTAACTGCACGTTGAATTTATGGCAGTGTAACAGACTCATGCTTCTTCAGCCTTTTTCTCTCCAAAAGACCAGCGAGATAAAACACTCCTCTCTGATGGTTTATGCTCTGTAATGAAGTTAGGAAGTCGGCTAACGTTTGATCTGCCGTTAGCTGCTTTGAGGTCTGCTCTGACTGAAAATGTGTCGCCCAAATTATTTGGCACACTTCAGATTTCATTTGTGTAGTAACGTATTGCCTTTGTTCCTCCAGACCTCCGACAGCAACGTGAAAATGGAGAGGAGGAGATTCTTACTGACCAGGAGAGACCCTCAGGTGTGGACCAGAATGAACCACAGCAACCACGGATTAAAGAAGAACAGGAGGAACTCTGCACCAGTCAGAACCCCCAACCTCCACAGATAAAAGAGGAGGAGGAAGAAGTTAGCACCAGTCCAGAGGACCCAGAATCTTCACAGATTAAAGAAGAAGGGAAGGAACCCTGCACCAGTCAGGACGGAGAGCAGGTCATGCTGAAGGAGGAGACTGATACCTTTACGGTGACTCCTATTCACGAGGAAGATGGCTGCAGTGAAGCAGGACCAAACAATGTTCTGCTCTCCCCTCTGAGCCCTCCTGACGCTGAGAATGGGAAGAAGTACTATCGTATTTACACAATGAAATATCTTGAAAGAATTCAGACAGTTGACAAAAGATACTGTTGCAAAATATGTGGGAAAGGTTTCGCTCACAGGTGTAATTTGGTGGACCACATGAGAATTCACACTGGTGAAAAGCCATACACATGTGAAACATGCGGGAAAAGTTTCAACAGAGTTGGTAATTTTAATGCCCACATGAGAAACCACACGGGTAAGAAGCCCTATGCTTGTGAAACGTGTGGGAAAGGTTTTAATCATCGATGCAATTTGGTGGACCACGTGAGAATTCACACAGGTGAGAAACCATACACATGTGAAACATGCGGGAAAAGTTTCAATCGAGTTGGTAATTTTAATGCCCACATGAGAACTCATGCAAGTAAGAAGATGTTTTCTTGTGAAACCTGCGGGAAAGGTTTCAATAGAAGGGGCCACTTTAATGCCCACTTGAAAACGCACACAGGTGAGAAACCTTATCCCTGTTACACGTGTGGGAAAACATTTATAAATGCATCAAGGCTAAAATTTCACATGATAATTCACACCGGTAAGAAACCCTATTCTTGTGAAACATGTGGGAAGCGTTTCATTCGAAAAGTGCACTTAACCACCCACGTGAGAATTCACACAGGTGAGAAACCTTATCCCTGCGAGGTATGTGAGAAAAGATTTATTGACGCGTCAACGTTGAAGTGTCACATGAGAACTCACACAGGTGAAAAACCGTATGTTTGTAACATCTGTGGGAAAGCATTTTCTGTCTTATCGACCTTTAAAAGTCACACCTCGGTTCATACAGGTGAGAAACCGTATTCCTGTGAAATATGTGGGAAAACATTCAGTCGCAGTGGTCACTTGACTGTACACGTAAGAACTCACACGGGTGAGAAGCCATACTCGTGTAAAACATGTGACAAAACTTTCAGTCAAAGGCATCATTTGACTTCCCACATGAGATCTCACACAGGTGAGAAGCGGTATTCTTGCCAAATGTGTGAGAAAAGCTTTGTTCAAAGCAGTCATTTGTGGCGCCACATGCGAACTCACACAGGCGAGACATCGTCATCCTGAAACATCTCTGTGGGATTATCTTCAAGTGACGCTTAGGAAAATAATAGAGGTTAACAGAGGAACTTTCAGAGCTCTGTAGTTTATTGCATGTGACAAAGTACTCGATGGATCAAATGAATCATGATTCGATCTTTCAGAGACAGTGAGGCTGTCAGATTTGTCCGGTCTGTAAGTTTTGATTTTTACAGAAACACGTTGCATATTTTGAAAAATGCTGCCTTTCGTCTCCTCTTTTGTTCACTTTTGTGCTGTTTTCATGCTGTAAACATGAGAAAAAGAAGTTAATGTTACAACATGTTAAGGCTTTTACTTTTTCTTATCTCTCTTCTTTTTCTCATCACCCCCCCATGGCATGGTCCTGTTGGAGGTTTCTTCCTGTTAGAAGGGAGTTCTTCCTCCCCACAGTGCTCCATGTGTCTGATTGGTTCTCTTTAAGAGTGTAGTTAAGGCTACATTATAGAGATAATCTTAGTCACAATTACTTAGATCATTATTGGCCAGTTATTGAACTTAAAATGTCTTTTTACTGACTGTATACACACACATACACTCACACAACCCTTATAGTTAAAATAAAAAGTGGTTTAATCCTAATTATTTTTTTAATCATTGGAAGCAAAAATCTGCAGACCTCATTCTGGGATGTGAACCTTACCCATAAAGCTCTTTGAGATGACTGTTATTGTGAACTTGGCAGTGTTGGAAGGTTACTTTTAAAATGTATTCCACTACAGATTACATAATATATGCCCCAAAATGTAGTTTGTAACATATTTCATTAAATTACTTAATGTCAGTAACATGTTCTGAATACTTTAGATTACTTGGTATATTGTCATGGTTTTTACAACTACATGGATGTACTGTGTGATTTATTACTGTTACTGAAGGCTACTTGCCACTGAGCTAATATTGTTAGCTGGCGTTAGCTGAGGTTAGTTCATAGACTGCTTTAGGAACTGCACATGATTATTTGCACCTAGCAGGATGTTAATGCTTTCCACCAAGTCTAACAGTCTGCAGTCTAATAGTAATAAATCACACAGCAGTAGTAAAATCAAAGATACTGAAGTGGCACATAACCCAGGTAGCTACCACAACTAAAACAAGGTAGCTGCAG